AATGTGACTCCAGCAATTTAAAATCTGATGTTTTGAATGGAGCTTGAACTTGCCAACTACAGTCTGTACCTTATAAACGCCATGTAAGAAAGTTTTGGCTGTTGCCTTCTCTTAAAGGCCAAATTGTAGTGCCAGCTTGCAAAATTTTAAACGACAAGGAGAAAAAAAGGAGAAGGAAGAAAAGAAAATACCGTAAGCTAAAACTTCCAGAAAGTCATGCCATTAGGAGACGCAAATCCCATATGCGGCAAGTCATCAGCCTATCGTGGAGATCTTTAATTTCCGTTCCAGCCTCGAAAGGCAGAAGAGCAGTTGAAGATGACTCACCGGCAAATCTGGGCCAACATTAACAATTATGCTAAGTGCTCAAAAGCAGGGACAGGCAGGATATCCAAAGATGTGTTGCGAGTAGGTGGCTTCCAAAGAACAACTGAGGGCCAACTGGTTGTTGGGACTTTGGAAAGACACCTGGACCAGTTGTGGCCTGCCTGAGTCCTGAGAGTGCACTTCCTGCACATTCTTAAATTGAAAGAAGAACCTACTTTTGTGAGAGCAAGAGGGTTTTGTACAAAGGAGAGCTAATGAAGAGAGAGTTAATGAACTGCTGGAAACTCCAATGCCCAAGCAAGAGTTGCCATTGCATTTGACTAGCTAGGAAGGGGGCTGCTAATGTATTTCCAGGAGAAACAATAGTTGTAGGTTCTTCCTTAAGTCTTATGGAGATTAGAGATATTCCTCAGAGTGGAGTTAGAACAATTAAAGTAGTATAAAACTGATATTACTGGGTAGCGCAAATTGTCCTAAAAGAGACATAGAGGATAAGAAGTATGCCAGATGGAGAATTATAGCTTCCAGAATTGAGCTCGTCTGGAGGTTCTAGTAGGGGAGCGCAGCTATCGTATACCCGGGACCGAAGACTGAAGAACTCGGCACACTCCTTCTATACCTGGGACGTCGTCCTATTCCACCAAGCGCGCAGCTTCGGGAGGGACGCAAATGGAGCGGTGAGGGAGGAAGGGGACACCTCCCTAGCCAGCCAGATCAGTCAAATCAACCTTGGCGATCAATGGGGTGACAGATGTCGCAGCCAGATCGCCCTCACAGCTCCCAGAATTTCCCAGCTGGAATGGTCATTAGTGTTGGAATTCAACCCCACACTACCCAAATCTCAAGTCCTCAACGAGGAGCACACAACCAGACACAGTGAAGACATTTGCCCTTGCGCTATGCTACTCTGCTGCTGAGTACGCATGCCCAGTGTGGAACACATCTCACCACACTAAAACAGTAGATGTGGCTCTTAATGAGACATGCCGCATTATCACGGGGTGTCTGCGCCCTACACCACTGGAGAAATTACACTGCTTAGCCGGTATTGCACCACCTGACATCCGCCGGGAAGTAGCAGCCAATAGTGAAAGGACCAACATCTCCAGGTCCTCCCTTGTTTGGGTTTCAGCCAGCACGTCAACTTAAATCAAGAAATAGTTTTCTAAGATCTACAGAGACACTCGCGGGAACACCTCCCCCCCCCCCCCGAAACTCACCCCCCCAAAACCCCCCCTGAAAAAAAAATCAGCCCCCCCCCCCAAAAAAACTGGAACACCTCAGCAAGCAAGAGTCCAAAAGTGCAGGCTCAAACCCAGAACCTCAACCAATGGCTGATACCAAATGAGAGACTCCCCCCTGGGCACACAGAAGACTGGGCGACTTGGAAGGCGCTGAACAGACTGCGCTCTGGCATCATGAGATGCAGAGCCAACCTTAAGAAATGGGGCCACAAAGTGGAATCCCAACATGCGAGTGTGGAGAAGAGCAAACCACTGACCACCTGCTGCAATGCAACCTGAGCCCTGCCACATTCACAATGGAGGACCTTCTTGCAGCAGCACCAGAAGCACTCCAAGTGGCCAGCTACTGGTCAAAAGACATTTAATCAGCTACCAAACTCGCAAATTTTGTATTTTGTCTGTTGTTTGTTTTGTTCTGTTAGAAATGTAATACAATTGATTGGTTGCCATGACACGACAAATAAATAATGAGGAGCAGTTAGTTTAGTATAGACTAAATCAGGGGTCCTCAAACTAAGACCTGAGGGTCAGAAACGGCCCTCCAAGGTCATTTACCCGGCCCTCGCTCAGGGTCAACCTAAGTCTGAAATGACTTGAAAGCACACAACAACAACAACAACAATCCTATCTCTTTAGTCAAAAGCAGGCCCACACTTCCCATTGAAATACTAAGTTTATATTTGTTAAAATTGTTCTTTATTTATTGTATTGTTTTAAAGTGTTTTTTCCACTACAAATAAGATATGGTATGGGGCCGGCGTACCTGAGGGCCCGCTTATCCCCTTACCAACCCCAGAAATTACTTCAGTCCGAAGACCAAAATTTGCTTGAAGTCCCCAACATCCGGACTTATCATCTGTCCTCTACTAGGCAGAGGGCCTTCTCGATTGTAGCCCCTTATTTATGTAATGCCTTGCCAGTGGAAACCCGATGTATCCGAGACCTACTTGCTTTTCGGAAAGCCTGTAAAACCTTTCTCTTCCTACAAGGTTTTGATGGGTGAATAACTCGAGACTATGTCTGTTCTTGTTTTTATTGTATTTTAAAGTTAATTGTATTGTTTTAATCTACTGCTGTAAACCGCTCCGAGCCAAATTGGGAGTAGCGGTATACACGTCAAATAAATAAATAAACAAATAAATAATATGTGCAGTGTGCATAGAAATATATTCATTTTTTTTCAAATTATAATCCGACCCTTCAATAGTTTGAGGGACTGTGATCTGGCCCTCTGTTTAAAAAGGACCCCAGGTCTAAAGGTTTCTCTTCCCCATGTATCCTGTATGACAATTGAGAATGTATCAATTTCTTCTCGACTCTCTGTTTCTGTTCTCCTTCTGATTGGTTGTTTAAAATAGATACTTTTTTACTGCAAGCTTTTTGGAATCTGCCTTCCACCTTCTTATACTTTAGTATGGAGAGTATATGCTGTGTGCTTTGAGATCTCTCTCTACTTGTGTGTCAGGAGAGATGTTTTTCCCTCTCTTTGAAAGAGATGGGTGTTAGAGTGGCTCAGGCCCAGTTCTTGATTATTAAGAAATAGAGTTAATTCTTATTGTAATTTTTTTAAAGATTGGATTCTGCATGTTCCCCTCCTAAGCTCTGAATTCTTTATGGCCATATCATACGACGCTTCACACTCTGCTTGCTTGCTGTCTTTGGTTGAAGTGAAATGAGTGAAGACAGGGAAGGCCAAGGACAGTTCCATCTTGTCTCCTGCATATGTCATCAGTTGGAGACCCCTCCCCCCAGCGCCAACCGCCACTCTGAGCAAGAGTGAAGACAAGGAAGGCCAAGGGCCAGTTCCATCTTGTCTCCTGCATATGTCATCAGTTGGAGACACGTACCCCCAGCGCCAACCGCTGCTCCTAGCCAGAGTGAAGACAGGGGAGGCCAGGGGACAGTTCCATCTTGTCTCCTGCATATGTCATCAGTTGGAGACCCCTCCCTCAGRYCCAACCTCRGCRRTGAGCCAGAGTGAAGACAGGGGAGGCCAYGGYACAGTTCCATCTTGTCRCCTGCATATGTCATCWMTTGMWGACCCCTRCCRRCAGCGCCAACCMCTGCTCTGAGCCAGAGTGAAGACAGGGGAGGCCAAGGYGACAGTTCCATCTTGTCTCCTGCATAWGTCATCAMTTGGAGASCCCTRCCRCCAGCGCCAACCACTGCTCTGAGCCAGGGTGAAGACAGGGGAGACCAGGGGACAGTTCCATCTTGTTTCCTGCATATGTCATCACTTGGAGAGCCCTCCCCCCAGTGCCAACTMCTGCTCTGAGCCAGAGTGAAGACAGGGGAGGCCAGGGGACAGTTCCACCTTGTCTCCTGCATATGTCATCAGTTGGAGACCCCTCCCCCCAGAGSCAACCGATGCTCCTAGCCAGAGTGAAGACAGGGGAGGCCAAGGGACAGTTCCATCTTGTCTCCTGCATATGTCATCAGTTGGAGACCCCTCCCCCCCAGCACCAACTGCCGCTCTGATCCAGACTGAAGACAGGGGAGACCAGGGGACAGTTCCGCCTTGTCTCCTGTGCTATGCTAATATATAATATAATATAATATAATATAATATAATATATTGTATATACATATAATATTTATAATATTATAATGTAATACAGTATAATACTACTAATAATCATATGATATTATAATTATATATTTTATATTAAATGTAATATTACTAATAATATTACAGTATAATTGTATAGTACAATATAGTGATGTATAGCACTGATATTGTACTGTGCTAATGGTATAATGTATTGTATTGTATCTTGTAAGCTGCTCTGAGTCCCTTTCAGGGTGAGAAGGGCGTCATATAAATGTCACAAATAAATAAATAAATAAATAAATAATACTTTCCAGCTATTCTGGACAATGAGTGTAGGTCCACTTGATTGGACAATAAACACCAGAATACACAACTATTTAACTTGTCTGTAGCCTTGATTGTTTACAATGGGTCACAATGTTACCTGCTCCTTCCTCTTCATATATTCCCATCTACCCCAAAGTATGCAGAAAGACATTACAGAATAGCTTCCACCACAAAAGTGCTCTCCCTGTGTGGCTGGCTTTCATCTTCCCCACTGGCAACCCACCAAACCAACGAGTTTGCCCACAGTGCCTCAGAGCACCACATACAAAAACAAAACTCAATTCGAGATTCTGATTCGGGAGTATCCTACAAGGAAGGGACTTTGTAAACACTATCCAAATAAAGCCTCTCTTGAACCACAACTCTCCGTCATAGGGAAGTCCTATTAGAAAATAACACTGTACATTGCTGGCCATACCACCATGGCATCCATCCCCCCAGATGGCACCAAACAGCGTTGATGATAATCAAAAGCCCATCTGCACAACAGCTAAACCACACATTTCCACTCAAAGCAAACCAACCAACAAAGAAGTCAAGGTATCACTTACTTCTTGGCTCCCGGGGTCCATCGACGGTCACTTTAATGGCACGATGGTAAGTGGCAACCTGGGTGGGGTTGGTGAAGACTGTAATTGTCAATGTAAAGCTTTTTCCTAAAGAGTGAGGAAAGGTGAAAAAAGGAAGAGAAAGCATGCATCAGCCCAAGCATAACTAAGAATGGAAATATAAACAGACTGACTTTCAAACCTATGCAGAGAGCGGCAAAAATACTTTTTAAAAAAAAGATTACAGCTTTTAAAATCTCCTTCAGCAGAGCTAACGACCTGGAACCTTCTGCCTGCCGAACACATATTATTTTTATTTTAATCTGTATTTTATTAGTGGGTTTTGACTTGTATTTTAACTCTGTATATGGTATTGGATGCCTTTTAATAATGTTTTATCTCGTGTTTTAATGATGTTGCATCCCACCATGAGCCGCAGGGAGAGGAGGGTAATAAATCTATTATTAGTATTATTAGTAGTATTAGCAGCACTATTATATGTATTTCTCCTGGATTCATTGTTGAGCCTGGAGCCCCAGGTTTCAACAGTGGCCAGGGGAGCATTCGCACAATTAAAACTTGTGCACCAGCTGTGCCCATACCTTGGGAAGTCAGACTTGGCCACAGTAGTCCATGGTTACATCCCAAATAGACTACTGCAACACACTCTACGTGGGGTTGCCTTTGAAGACTGTTCAGAAGTTCCAAATGGTCCAACGGGCAGCAACCACATTGCTCACCGGAGCAGCGTACAGGGAACATACAACCTCACTATTGTGTCAGTTCCACTGGCTGCCAAGTCTGCTACCAAGCACAATTCAAAATGCTGGCTTTGGCATATAAAGCCCTAAACCAATGTTTCTCAACCTTCCTAATGCTGTGACCCCTTAATATAGTTCCTCATGTTGTGGTGATCCCCAACCATAAAATGATTTTCATTGCTACTTCATAACTGTTGCTACTGTTATGAATCTGATATGCAGGATGTATTTTCATTCACTGGACCAAATTTGGCACAAATACCCAATATGCCCAAATTTGAATACTGGTGGGGTTCGGAAGGGGCGGGGGTTGATTTTGTGATTTGGGAGTTGTAGTTGTTGCGATTTATAGTTCACCTACAATCCTAGTATTCTGAACTCCACCAACAATGGAACTGAACCAAACTTAGCACACAGAACTCCCATGACAAACAGAAAATACTGGAAAGGTTTAGTGGGCATTGACCTTGAGTTTTGAAGTTGTAGTTTGCTTACATCCAGAGAGCACTGTGGACTCAAACAATGATGGATCTGGGCAGGCCCGTAGCCAGGATTTTGATTTGGGGGGGGGGGGGGCTTTGGGGGCCAGATCCAGCTACATGCCTGGATCTGGGCCAAACTTTGCATTGAATACTCAATGTGCCCAAATGTGAACACTAGTGGAGTTTGGGGAAAATGGACTTTGACATTTGGGAGTTGTTGTTGCTGGGATTTATAGTTCACCTACAATCAAACCCCACCAATGATAGAATTGGCCCAAACTTCCCACACAGAACCTTCATGATGAACAGAAAATACTGTGTTTTCTGATGGTCTTTGGTGACCCCTCTGACACCTCCCTCGCAACCCCCTCCCCAGGTTGAGAAACGCTGAGATAGAAGCTTTACTATGCTTGCTATTGACTGCCATTAAAATGACTTCAAATTATGACAACTGATGGAGGAGAGACCTCCAGCTCATCAGCAGCCTTGCTCAGGTCTTGCAAACTCAGAGCTGTAGCTTCCGTGATTGAGTTTATCCATCCGGGATGAGGTCTTCTTCTTTTCCTACTGCTTTCTGCATTGCTAAATATTATTGTCTTGAAGATAAAAGGCTAGAGCCCTGCTGGCTTCACTGGGCTCTGACCAAAACCCTGTTTGTTGGGACTTGTAATCAAACTCGGCACATGCCACTCCAAGACTCCAGACTACTGTAATTTCGTAGCCCAGACATGGAGACCCGGGCTGAGGGGCTGGGCTGGGGGGGCCTTAATGAATTCAAGAGTTCAGATGGAGTTATGTTCAGTTTGGAAATTTGTGAAAGGGGGAGAAATGGAAAGAAAAAAAAAAGGACGGGGCGAGAGGGAGGAGACTTAAGCAAATAATTGAGTACAGAAATGAAAGCTTAATTCATAAAAGCAAAACATTTTCCATTCATCAACCTGCAAGCAGTTAAGTGGGAGGGGGGCTGAAAGAAAGCCTGCCTGCCACTTGGGAAAAGAGCCAACAGGAAAGCGGAAATACACAGAAGAATGTAAACTATTTGGGTTTCATAGAGAGCAACAAGTAAACAGTTATTACACGCAAATCATTCTTAAGATCACTCGGCCTTAATGCCGAGGAGCCAAAATCTCTCTGACGGTTTGCATGTATACATTCAAAAAGCTGGGCTAAAAGTTGGCCTGCAGCCGAGGAGGCTACAGTGGGACGCTCTTTGTGGAGGGAGCACATGCTTTCAAAAAGGGTCAGTTTGCAGAGGAAACCTGCCCTTAAAATGCCCCGAAATCAGCAACTGGGCTCATGTATCATGCCTGCGTCGAATGAATGGGGGTTAGATCCTGGCTCTGGCCCCGTCCTGTTCTCTACACATCTGTTTGGGCTTTTCTACAGAGCCAGAGACTGATGTTTTAGTAGGCACGAGGCTTGTGCAATCTGGGTAAATCTTGACCCGTTTAGGTGTCCTGGCTTCCAGTGGGGGCCACGATCCGTTTTTTGAGAAGGCAAAAATCTGTTTTCACTCTGGGGTGCCAAAAGATCCATTTCTATTGGCCCATTTGGGGGGGGGGGGCTTCCCAGTCTCCCTTTCTCGTCATTTTAGGCATTTAAGCTATTTCTACTCTAGAGAAGAGATGCTGCAGGCAAGCAGGCACTTTCTCTCCCAGGCCTGAATGCCACACACACTCTTTCCGAGGCATTTAAAGGAGACACATTCTTAAAGCTGTTTCTTACACTAGAGGAGAGGCACTCGGCTACAGGCAGGCTCACACTTTAATGACGTTTTTTTGTTCTTAAAGCTGTCTACTCTAGAGCAGAGGTGCTGCAGACAAGCACAGATGCATTTTCTCTCCCAGGCTGCACTACATCAGCGGCCACACACTCTCTCCAAGGCATTTTAAGGAGGTTTTACACTTCCAGGTAAGGAAGAGTGATGACCTCCTGGAAGAAGAGAGGTAGCTGATAATACGAGGGTTATCCAGAAAGTAAGGTTACAAGGCACGTAGCTCTTGCAAGGAATTTTCGTGGGGAAAATTGGTATCACTGCTGTGTAATGGGAAGCCAGCGGAAGCGGATAAGCAGTGCCAGTTGTCAGTAGCTCATCGACCGGCATTGTGGTGAAGGTTAGAGATGAGCATCCTCATTCAGTTTCCCACAAAGTGCGAAGTTTGCACTGTGATACACTTCCTAAATACTAAGGGCATGAACGCCACTGTGATTCATTGCGAAATCGTTTCAGTTTATGGAGAGGACATAATGTCAAGACAGCAGGTGACAAAATGGATACGGAATATATTGCAATACCATGAAGAAACTTTGCAAAGCCATCCGAAACAAATGTCATGGGATGTTGACGGTGGGACTCTGTCTACTTCATAACAATATGTGTCTGCACATCGCTCATGCAACACAAGAGTTGTTGAATTCATTTGGTTGGGATGTCTTAAGCCACCCGTCTCACAGCCACAATCTTGCACTTAGTGACTATCATCTGTTCACTCAATTGAAAGAACACCTGGGTGGAAAACACTTTTCCGACGATGACAAGGAAGTAATAATAGAAGTGACAAACTGGCTGAAAAAGGCGGAGGGAAACTTCTATGACACAGACATCAAAAACTCATCCCACGGATGACAACATGTATTGAACTGAATTGATTAGGTAGAAAAATAATGTAATACCTATGCTACAATCCATGTAATTTTTATTAAAATATATTCATTATTTGTATTTTTTTTTTAAATTGTAACCTTACTTCCCGGATAACACTCGTACAGTGAGAGGACTATTTCACTTCCTTCATGGCCTTTCCTTGTCAATTCTCACCAGGATTCTTAAAAGCAGATAAAATATAACATTTGGATATATCCTTATTTTCTGGATAACCCTCATAGTTTTCAGGGAATGAGGATTTTCTTTTTGTTTGCTGGGGATTAATTAAAAAGATTAAACTGTGATGCTGAAAAGCAGAGGAGGAACTGAGATCAACTCCTGCTTGCTTTCGTGTCGGGCAGTTTTTTGTCTGACACGGTAAGGAGGTCCCTTACCGTAACGGGCTCCCAAAGTACCAAAGGTACCAAAGGAAAAGGAAGAAATGAAAGAAACTAATTCCACACACAAGTCTAGTACCCACACATCTAGCAACTCTTTGTGGAAGGGCTGTAGCTCTGTGGGTGAACATGTGTTTTGCAGATAAAAGGTCCCAGGTTTTCATCCCCAGTAATATGTAAAATTACAAAAGGAATTTGCAAACAGTAACAGAAGCCACTTAAAAGTCTTTTTGAATTAAAATCGATGGCTGTGTTTTCCCCTAAGGTCAGAGAACTGCCTCATAAATTCAAGATTTGCAAATTGACAGAGAACTGGTTTTTGGGGTAGTAGATTTGATCCCAAAGTGTTGAATATGGTAGGTTCACACCAAACACATTTGTCGGCATTCCTTGGGTGAACATTGGGCAAATCAGTTCACGAGACATGTGGGTGTTCCTGGTCAAGCAAAAACAGATTACAAGAAAGACAAGTTCTATTTCTTGGGAGCTTTTGGCAGGAAGATGTCATTTTTCAGACTATGACTCACAAGTCCTAACCAGACCTTTGAGCAGATTCAGTTGTGCTATGGATCATTCATTTTCACGGACTATTCAGCTAGTCCGTGGAGACATTTTCCATGCAGCAAAAGGAAAATTGAGGTATCTCTCTGCCTATTAGTTTCTCCTTCTTAATGAACTGCAGCCTTTTGCTTAAAAAATTGAGGTTTAAAAGAGGAGAATGAATCTGGGAGCCAAACATGTTTGAATTCTTGCACCAGGGCCTTTCCCAGGAGAAGTGGATAGAAGAAGAGGCCTGTGCCTCAGACCAAAGGTCACCCAGGTTTTTGGTTCCCTCTGTGGAAACTCACACGAAAGGCCAACGGTTGAGTAGATTATTGGGGGAGTTTGTGGTCCGTAAAGATGCAGGGCTCATCCTGTGGCCAAAAATGGTAACTCCAAAGACATGGTATAATACAGGCATGGGCAAACTTCAACCCTCCAAATGTTTTGGACTTCAACTCCCACAATCCCTAACAGCCTCAGACCCTTTCCTTTTCCCCCTCAGCCGCTTAAGCAGAAAAGGAAAGGGAAAAGGAAAAGGAAAGACATTCTCTGTGTTGATTAGGGAGAAAAGCAAAAATAGACAGGATCCCCCATTGGTAGGTCCACCACAACAGATAGTCAGCATTGTGGCCTGCAAAGAAGTAATTCAGACCTACAAACGGGCAATTCTTTTCCTGCTATAATTCTTAGCTTTGCTGTTCTTAAGGCCTCCGATTGCTAATGGATCCCTCCTGAATGCAACGCCACATCGTGGAATATTTGTTTCCTAGACCAACCTTTGATGATCTCAAAATTTGATTGCCGTTTGTTTCCCTCTGATCCTCTTACCTCGGCCACTCCGTCCAACAAAGCGAAGATCATTAAACCTGGCCACTTGGTTTTTCATCACCGCAGAAGCATTCCGAAGCTCAGCAGAATAGTTCTCGTCATTGCCAGCCATTACAGTCACCACAGTTCCATCGGGGACATCTCCAAGGGCTACCACCTAGACAATATCAGCAGCAGTCAATAAGGGTTGGGTTTACAATGAATGTCTTGAATGTTCAGGGCTCAGACATTTCAGATTTCAGTGGCGAAAAATCCATAACAACACACATATATACACATTGCAGTTCCATCTACACTGCCACATATTTCAGTTTGGAACTAAATTATATGATCAGCATAGACCAGGCATGGGCCAACTTGGGCCCTTCAGGTGTTTTGAACTTCAACTCCCACAATTCCTAACAGTCTACCGGCTGTGGGAGTTGAAGTCCAAAACACCTGGAGGGCCCAAGTTCACCCATACCTGCTCTACACTAATGCACAAAGCATGGGAAATAAATAAGAAGAACGTGAACTTTTAAAACAACAAAACAAATACAATATAATTGGTGTCCCTGAAACCTGGTGAGACAAGTCTCATGATTGGAATGTAGTAATAGATGGATATAACCTATTTCTTTAAAGCCTTTAAAGGGGTATAACTGGCTGCTAGGAATTGTGGGAGTTAACGTCCAAAATGAGCCCAAGTTGGCCCATGCTTGGAGTAGACTCATATAATGCAGTTTAATAAATGCAGACTCCTTGGCTTGAAAATGTAGGAAAACGCCTCCCCGGAGCCAGAGGTAAGCACCACCACCAGAAGCCAGAAATGAAAGGAGAAGCCTCTGCCTTTGTTTGTGTTTGTGTGTCTAAAAGGCATTGAATATTTGCCTATATATATAAATGCTGTAATCCACTCTGAGTCCCCTAGAGGAGATGGGTGGAACATAAATAAAATGTATTTTTATTATTAGTAGTATTAGCATTAGTATTAGCATTAGTATTATTAACTTTATTTATACCCTGTGGGGGCTCCAGGCAGATAACAATCTACACTAGACAAATTTAAAAAGTGCAATTCAAAAGTTTAAAAACAATTATAGTAACAGTGTGGTAAAAACTGTATTAAAATACAATAACTACACTAAAATGTCATTTAAAACTCATATTTATTTATTTATTTACTTACTTTATTTGTATACCGCTCTTCTCAGCCATTAGGCGACTCAGAGCGGTTAACAACAAGCAGCGGCAAAAATTCAATGCAAACATCATACAGCCATTTAAAAAACAATTAACACAATAATACACTAAGCAATTAACCTCAATAACCATCAATAACCATCAATAAACAACTCACTAGCACCTCATAACTAAAATCATAATCCAAGCTCGTCATCCGTTGTTCCGATTTCCTATAATTCATTGTAATTCATTGCACTGCCTATTCAAACGCCTGTTCAAATAACCAGGTTTTCACTTCCTTTCGAAATGCCATTAATGAGGGAGCTGATCTGATGTCTGTGGGTAGGGCGTTCCACAGTCGAGGGGCCACCACCGAGAAGGCCCTGTCCCTCGTCCCCGCCAACCGTGCCTATATTCCCCTTTTACAAACTCAGCATCAATGGCAATGGTTTCAAGTCCTTTTTCCTTTTGAGTATCTATGCATATGGTTGAGGTATCACTTTTGAACGAAGATTTTTGGGGAGTTTGGTCCTCAAAAATCCCAGGATGAACAGATCTGTTCCACATGGTCCAGACTGTAGTCTAGAATAGAAATGAATTCATTGACTCCATCAACACTGCTACATAATGCACTTTGAAACTGCATTATATGGTCAGCATAGACTTCATGACATTACAGTAGAGTCTTGCTTATCTGACATAAACAGGCTGGCAGACTGTCGGATGAACGAAAATGTCGGATAATACAGACTCTCCTACTGTTACCCGTCCGATACGACGCTAGACACCTAGAATACTAACAACAGGGACTAAAAGGGTTAGGGCAAGGCAACACCTCGGGGCTAGAGTGGCCCAGCAGGAAGTGCCCGGATATGGAAAAGGAGCATGGAAATCACAGATGGAATGATGGAGGACACTTCTGCTTCCAGTCCAGTCTCCCTCCCCCATTTACTCCCTCCTCCTCCTCCTCCTCCTTGTCTTGCCTTTTTCACTTTTTGGTAATGGAGCGAGAGTTGGAGAGCGCTCCTTTAATTGAAGGGGAAATGCTGGAGGAAAAGGGGGAGTGTCGGATAAGAAGGAATGTCGGATAAGCAAAGGTCGGATAAGAGAGATTCTACTGTATATGGTAGTGTAAATGGGTCCACACTTCCCATATGTTCTGGGGCAGTTCCGCGGTCAAAAAGGAAGGCATTTACAAATGAATGTTTTGAAATATAAAGTTTGAAGACATTTTTGAGAAAATATGTTTTAAAATGTATCTCGTGCCGATATTTTGGAAGTGGGCTTCGTTTACCCTTCTACACTGCCATATAAAATCTAGATGGATTGAATGGATTGAATTGAATAGATGGCTTTGAATTGGATTGTTTGGCAGTGTAGACTCATAGAATCCAGGTTCAAGCAGATAATGTGGATTATCTGTTTTGATAATTTGGATTGTATGGCAGTGTGGGATGGTCTTAAATACATATTTAAAGACAATTTTGTGCTGATTTATTTTTTAATCAGTTTAACATAGAAAAAAGATGGATGTTGTTTATGAGCGAACACACATGAAAGTAATGTGAATTGGAACGAGAGCTGTTTCCTGTTCCCAACTTGGAAGTAAAACCTATTGCAATGAATGAGCAATGTCCCAGGAAGAATAAAGTCTTTTCAGAGAAGAATTCAAAACAGAGAATTAAAATTATTGTCAACTATTATGTTTTCAGTTGCTCGAAAAAACAAGGTTTTTAGAGGTATGGGAATTATGCATGTGCGCAATACACACAAATGTGCTGTGTGCTTTGAGATCTCTCTCTGTATGTGTGTCAGATGTAGTGCTTGGAGGATTTTCCCCTCTCTTGAAACCTTGGAAGAGATGGGTGTTAGAGTAGCTCAGACACAGTTCTTTACCTATCAAGAAATGTAGTTAGTTCTTATTATTGTAAATAAATATTTTGTGATTTTTACAGATTGGATTCTGCATGTTTGAAATACACACAAATGTTTATATACATATTCCTTTGATTCAAAGCAGCTGAAAAAGATGGAAGTTTAGCCAAAACATTTTGTAACAGAATGTTAATATTTTTTTTTCTTTTGTTAGTGATTCACTTCTTCCGAGTTCATTAAACCATTCCATTATTATTTGGTTGGGTGGCTTGATTTCCATCCTGATTTAAACGAGAAAGAAAGAAAGATCTGTTTGAAGTCAAGCTTCCCATTTATACTTCTTTATTTGTTTCCTAAACAAAATTTCTTCACTAGGAAGTCTTTAAAATATCCCAACATGCATTTTGTTTTTAGTGGCATCCATGTGAATTGGAGCGAAATATTGGGGATCTGATCTCTCTGCAATTTTGTCTCTGGTTGGAGCTACACTGGAATATAGTCTAGGTTATCCAAGTTGATAATCCACATTATCTGCTTTGAGCTGGATTATATGAGTCTAGACTGCCATATAATCCAGTTCAAAGCGGATAATCTGGATTTTATATGGCAGTGTCGATGTAGCCCTAGGTATCCTTAGGAGAAATATAAAATATAATTTTGTTTCAAAACTGTCCCTGAAATTTGTTTGTCCTCTTATTTGGCTCTTCACAGATGATAGTGTTTATTTCTGGGTGATAAGACAGGGTCTTGTATTAAATTTTGCTCCAAAATATGTGTTAGGGCTTCTTTTCAGGGGATGCCTTATTTTTCCAAGCTGACTTTAATGAACAGTAACTAGGGCTTATTTTTTGAAGTAGGGCTTATATTTCGAGCATCCTCCAAAAAAAATTGTGCTTGGGCTTATTTTCAGGGCAGGTCCCATTTTCGGGAAAACAGCATCTGCCTTCTAAGTGATTCAGTTGAAGTAAATTTGTAAGTGTTCCTATCTTCAGTGCTGAAGGAAGAAAGAAAGAAAGAAGAGAGAAAGGGGAGAAAGAGAAGGTAACTGAAAGGAAAGGAAAGGGGAAGGGGAAGGGGAAGGGAGGGAGGGAAAGGAAGAAGGAAAGAAAGAAAGGAAAGAAGAAAAGAAAAAGTGAAAGAAAGAAAAAAGAAAGAAAGAAAGAAAGAAAGAAAGAAAGAAAAGAAGAGAGAAAGGGGGAGGAAGGAAAGGGAAGGGAAGGGAAGGAAGAAAGGAAGGGAAGGAAGGGAAAGGAAAGGAAAGGAAAGGAAAGGAAAGGAAAGGAAGGAAGGAAAGGAAAGGGGAAGGAAGGAAGGAAGGAGGGAGGGAAGGAAGAAGAAAAAGAAAGAAGAAAGGAAAGAAGAAAGAAAGAAAAGAAAGAAAGAAAGAAAAAGAAAAGGGGGAGAGAAAGGGAAGGAGAAAGGAAAGGGGAAGGAAGGGGAAGAAAAGGGAAGGAAGGGGAAGGAAGGGAGGGAGGGAAAGGAGGAAGAAAAAGAAAGAAGAAAGGAAAGAAAAAAAAAAGGAGAAAGGGGAGGAAGAAGGGAAAGAAGGAAAGGAAGGGGAAGGGAGGAGGAAAGGAAAAGAAGGAAGAAAAAGAAAGAAAGAAAAGAAAGAAAGAAAGAAAGAAAGAAAGAAAGAAAGAAAGAAGAGAGAAAGGGGGAGGAAGGGAAGGGAAAGGAAAGGAAAGGGGAAGGGAAGGGGATGGGGAATGGAAGGGGATGGGGAAGGGAGGGAGGGAAAGGAAGGAAGAAAAAGAAAGAAAGAAAGAAAGAAAGAAAGAAGGAAAGAAAGAAAGAAGAGAGAAAGGGGGAGGAAGAGAAGGGAACGGAAGGGAAAGGAAAGGGGAAGGGGAAGGGGAAGGGAAGGGAAGGGGAAGGGGAAGGGAGGGAGGGAAAGGAAGGAAGAAAAAGAAAGAAAGAAGAGAGAAAGGGGGAGGAAGAGAAGGGAACAGAAAGGAAAGGGAAAGGGGAAGGGAGGGAGGGAAAGAAAGGAAGGAGAAAAAAAGAAAGAAAGAAAAGAAAGAAAGAAAGAAAGAAAGAAGAGAGAAAGGGGGAGGAAGGAAAGGGAAAGGGGAAGGGAAGGAGGGAAGGGGAAGGAGGGAAAGAAGGAAGAAAAAAGAA